TAAATTTGTGGTGCTACTGAACTGAGACTGTGAAAAAAGAGACGGTGGGGGAGAGAACTCACGGAATTCACGTGAGTACTCTCCAGAGATGCTACAATTCCGTAACTTTGGCAACCCAGTGGGAGACTGAAGGAGAATCTGAGCCCACTCTGAGGGCAGAACAGATTCCCTGTGTGGTCCTTGGGAAAGAGCTTCTGATCTCTGGCTCCTGTGGGTATATCACTTGCCTGCTAACTACCTCCAACTTCGTTCAGCTGTGCGGAATTACTTCCCTTTTGAAGCAAAAAAAGAAAGAGAGAGAGAGAGATCTACCACGCCTAACCTGGGAGTGTCACCTTTGGCACACCAAACAGAGCTCTCAGGCCACACCCATCTCAAGCCTCTAAGGCTCCATCAAAAACAGACAGTCCACTTAATCTAGAGTCATAGTATAACAAGAAAAAGCACCACAGTGAAGAAACCAAATATCTCCAATATGCCAAATAACAAACGCAAAAACCGAGGTAATAAAAACAAGGAAGTCATCATGAAGCCCCCAAATGAAAAAGACACCCCAATTCAAGATTATGAAGATGATGAGATAGAAGAAATGCAAGAAGCAGATCTCAAAAAATTGATAAGAACATTAAGAAGTTCTCAAAAACAAATTCTTGAATTACAGAAATCCTTAATGGACAAGATAGAAAATCTCTCTCGTGAAAATGAAATATTAAGGAGGAATCAAAATGAAACGAAACAACTAGTACAACAGGAAACTGGGATAGTGACTGAAGTGAAGAATTCAATAGATCAAATGAAAAACACAATAGAGAGCCTTACAAACAGAATGGGTGAAGCAGAAGAGAGAATATCGGACTTAGAAGACAGAGAACAGGAAAGGATACAGTCAGACCAAAGAAAAGAAGAGGAAATTAGAAATCTAAAACATATTGTCGGGAATCTTCAGGATACTATTAAAAAACCCAACATTCGGGTTCTAGGAGTTCCTGAAGGCATGGAGAGGGAGAAAGGATTAGAAGGCCTTTTTAGTGAGATATTAGCAGAAAATTTCCCAGGTTTGGAGAAGGACAGAGAAATCCTAGTACAGGAAGCTCACAGAACCCCTAATAAACACGACCAAAAGAGATCCTCACCACGACACGTTGTAATTAAACTCTCCACAGTGAAACATAAAGAAAAGATCCTAAAATGTGCAAGAGAGAAACGTCAGATTACTCTCAGAGGATCTCCAATCAGACTCACAGCTGACTTCTCATCAGAAACTCTACAAGCTAGGAGGGAATGGCAAGATATAGCCCAGGTACTAAGAGAGAACAACTGCCAGCCCAGAATATTATATCCTGCAAAGCTATCATTTGTGAATGAAGGTGAAATAAAGACTTTTCATAGCAAACAGAAATTGAAAGAATTTGTTGCCACTCGTCCAGCCCTGCAAAAGATGCTTAAAGATGTGTTACACACAGAAACAAAGAAACACGGTCATCAATATGAAAGAAGGTAAAGGAAGGAAACCTCACAGCAAAAGATCACAGGGAATTCAAAGCATATATTAGAACTTATCTTTGGCAATTGGTAGGGCAAAGTTACCACTTATCATTAGTCACATTGAACGTGAATGGCCTGAACTGTCCAGTTAAAAGACACCGATTGGCTGATTGGGTTAAGGAACAAAACCCATCTATTTGCTGCTTACAAGAAACACATCTTTCCAACAAAGATCCATACAGACTGAAAGTGAAAGGCTGGAAAAAGATATACCATGCCAACAGAAAAGAAAAAAGAGTGGGCGTAGCCATCTTAATATCGGACAACATAAACTTTACCACAAAAACCGTTAAGAGAGACAAAGAGGGAAACTACATAATGATTAAGGGATCAATTCAACAGGAAGATATAACAATTATCAATGTATATGCACCTAACTACAGGGCACCGGTTTATCTAAAAGATTTGTTAACGGACTTAAAGGGAGACTTAGACCCCAATACAATAGTACTGGGGGACTTCAATACTCCACTCTCAGAAATAGACAGATCAACAGGACAGAAGATCAACAAGGATACAGTAGATTTAAAAGACACTATAGCCCAAATGGATCTAACAGATATATACAGAACTTTCAATCCTACAGCTAAAGATTTTACATTCTTCTCAGCAGTACATGGAACCTTCTCTAGGGTTGACCACATACTAGGCCATAAAGCAAGTCTCAGCAAATTCAAAAGAATTAGAATCATACCATGCAGCTTCTCAGACCATAAAGGAATGAAGTTGGAAATTAGCAACTCAGGAATCCCTAGAGCATACGCAAACACATGGAGATTGAACACCATGCTCCTGAATGAACAATGGGTCATAGAAAAAATTAAAAGAGAAATCAAAAACTTTCTGGAAGTAAATGAGGATAACAGCACAACATACCAAAACTTAGGGGACACAGCAAAAGCAGTGTTAAGAGGAAAGTTTATATCAATAGGTGCCTACATCAAGAAATTGGAAAGGCACCAAATAGATGAGCTTTCAATTCACCTCAAGGATCTAGAAAACCTACAGCAAACCAGACCCAAATCTAGTAGGAGAAGAGAAATAATTAAAATCAGAGAAGTAATCAACAGGATTGAATCAAGAAACACATTCCAAAAAATCAGCCAAACGAGGAGCTGGTTTTTTGAAAAAATAAACAAAATTGACACCCCATTGGCCCAACTAACTAAAAAAAGAAGAGAAAAGACCCAAATCAATAAAATCAGAGATGAAAAAGGAAACGTAACAACAGACACCACAGAAATAAAAAGAATCATCAGAAATTACTACAAGGACTTGTATGCCAGCAAACAGGGAAATCTATCAGAAATGGATAGATTCCTGGACACATGCAACCTACCTAAATTGAACCAGGAAGACATCGAAAACCTAAACAGACCCATAACTGAGACAGAAATTGAAACCGTAATAAAGGCCCTTCCAACAAAGAAAAGCCCAGGACCAGATAGATTCACTGCTGAATTCTACCAGACATTTAAAGAAGAACTGACTCCAGTTCTTCTCAAACTATTCAGAACAATCGAAAAAGATGGATCCTCCCAAATCCTTTCTATGAAGCCAGCATCACCTTAATTCCTAAGCTGGAAAAAGATGTAGCATTGAAAGAGAATTACAGACCAATATCCCTGATGAACATAGATGGAAAAATCCTCAATAAAATTCTGGCCAATAGAATGCAACAACACATCAGAAAGATCATCCACCCAGACCAAGTGGGAAAGCCAAGACACTCTGGGGGAAAAAAAAAAAACTTAAAGATCTTCGCGAGTGAGATCCCAGTGGAAAGAATGGGTCATCAAAGAAGGAGGTACCTTTCTCTGAAGGGAGGAGAGAACTTCCAGTTTGACCATGGCCTTGTCTAAATATGATCAGAGTCAGTGAACTCAGGGGGCTTCCATAGCCTTGGCAGCTCATGACAAGAGCCTAGGGTGATACTGATGCCATAAACAAGAGTGTCAGTTTGTTAAGTCAACAACAAGAGTCACTGTGCACTTACTCCTCATGTAGGATCTTTGTCCTTAGTGTGCTGTACATTGAGATTTAATGCTATAACTAGTACTCAAACAGTATTTTTCACTTTATGTTTCTGTGTGGGAGCAAACTGTTGAAATCTTTACTTAATGTATGCTAAACTGATCTTCTGTATATAAAGAGAATCGAAAATGAATCTTGATGTGAATGGAAGGGGAGAGGGAGTGGATAAGGGGAGGGTTGTGGGTTGGAGGGATGTTATGGGATTAAGCCACTGTAATCCGTAAGCTGTACTTTGGAAATTTATATTCATTAAATAAAAGTTAAAAAAAAAAAAGAAAACCTTAAAAAAAATAAAAAAAATAAAAGTGATTTCTTTGTGTCAGTATTGTGGCATAGAGGGTTAAGCTGTCACCTGCAGTTCTGGCATCCCATATATTTGCTGGTTCCAGTCCTGGGTGCTCTGCTTCCGATCTAGCTCACTGCTAATGTGCCTGGGAAGTCAGCAGAAGATGGCTAAAGTGCTTGGGCCCCTGCCACTGACATAGAAGACCTGGAAGAAGCTGCCGGCTCCAGGCTTTGGCCTGGTCCAGCCCTGACTGTTGCAGCCATTTGGGGGGTGAACCAATGGATGGAAGATTTCTCTGTCTTTCCTTCTCTCTCTGTAGCTCTGCCTTTCAAATAAGTAAATAAGTCTTTAATAAATAAATAAATAAATAAATGTAATTTCTTAATTTCCAAAACTGTGGATTATGTACCCTTTATTTTTTGATTCTTGTTTCTAGCTTAAATGTGCTATTGTCAGATAACATGTTTTCTTTGGCTGCCATTCTTTGAGAATTGTTGAGACTTTCTCTATTGCCAAAAAGTAACCAATTTTAAATATTCCATATGATATTGGAAAGAGTTGTGATTTTATATGTGGTAGTTGCTATGTCCTATGTATGTGTCTCTCTTGATAGGGAGTCTTGTGGCTTTATTCTGGACCTTAATTTTCATTGTCTCCGGCCCATTCCTTTTTAATTTGGATTCTTCGTCCTCCAGTTTCTCCTCCTCATGGAGGCTTGTGTTGGAAGAGTTTCAGTTAATTTTAAGAATTCTGAGATATATGGCTACAGTTTTTCTTCCCAACTCTTCTAGTAATAGGAATCTTGAAGCATATAGAATTTTTAGAAAATTTTTTATGTCTGCTAACCTAAAGAATAAGCCTGGAGAGATGGAGAATTTAGGTTTATGAAATCAGAAAATTAATTCTTCATAGCTGTTCTTATTCCCAGTGGCAATAATTAGTTGGCTTAGGTGTGTAAATGGGCCACTTTTTAAGATCTAAAGTGGTGTGCTGGAATTGATGATTCATCTTATTTTGAGAAGCAATGGAAACCAGCTGTTTTGCATTGGATACAACAAATAATAACTACTATATCTCTAGTTTTTGAAAGTTGAACATAATTCAATGAACTTAAATTATTTTTCTCTTTTTTCAGATCAAAGACTGAATGAAGTTCTTAGGCGATATCAAATGGAAAATTTTTCCAAATATACATCTGTTCAGGTATGCAAATAAGGTCTAACACACAAGGTTCAAATTTAGTTTTAAAATATGTACATATATGTTAATGTATAAATTCTAGTTTTGATTATTCTCAAGTTTACCTACAATAGACTAAAATTTTGCTACAATTTTGATTGTTACAAGGGGGAAATTTTTTTTCATTTGTTTAATGAAAGTAAAACTATTTTCCATAGAAATTATCTTCTTTTCCAAGAAATGAAAATTGTGTATTATATATAGTATTAAAATATATGTTCTAAAATGAAACTAAATTCAGATTTTGAAATATCCTAAATTGTTTCTCAAGATGCATCTGCTTGTTTGCTTTATCTTTGCATTTTCCTAAATTGTGACAGAAGTATAACTTAAGTGAAATAGGAAATAATGTGTGATTTTGTTTTTGGATTTTCATTCCTTGGCTGGCATTTTTAAAAAATATTGTATTTAATGTTTTTAATGAATAAGATAACTTATGAACCCAGTTTACAGAATATTAGAAAAAAAATAGTGGATCCTAGATCAGTTATGGCTGAAGTAGGCATTGTGGTACAGCAGGTTAAGCTGCAACTTGGGACATATCTTATATGGATAGGAGTTCAAATCCTCCACTTTGGATCCAGCTTCCTACTAACATGTTTGGGAAGGCAGCAGATGGTGGCCCAAGTAGTTGGGTTCCTGCTACCCATGTGGGAGACCTAAATGGAGTTTCTGGCTCTTGGCTTCAGCCTGGCCCTGCTCTGGCTATTGTAGACATCTAGGGAGTGAAACAGCACATGCAAGATCTCGATCGCGTGCTCTCTCTCTCTCTCTGTTTCTCCCCTTTCTGTCACTTTTTCAAATAGTAAAATAAATCTTCTTTTAAAAGATTAGTGGTAGCTTTAAAAAAAAGATTTATCTGTTTTGAAAGTCTGAGTGACACAAAAAGAGGGAGAGACAGAAAAAGAGAGATCTTCCATCTGCTGGTTCACTGCCCAGATGACTGCAGGGACCAATGCTGGGACAGGCTGAAGCCAGGAGCCCAGATCTTCATCCACATCTCCCACATGAATAGCAGGGCCCAACCACTTGGGCCACTGCTTTTCCCAGGCTGTAAGCAGAGAGTTGGATCAGAAATGGAGTAGCCAAGGATACGAACCAGCATCCATATGGGATGCTGGCATTGCAGGCAGCAGCTCTACCTGCTACACCACAGTGCCAGCCCCAGTGGTGGTTTCTTACTGAAACAATAGTACTGCTTTTTTTTTTTTTAATAAATAAGTCTTATGATTAGAGCTCAGATTCTTTTTTAAGGTATTAAACATGAAAAGATTTTTTTTTAAATCTGCAATATGGGATGCGAACATCCCAAGTGGCAGTTTAACCTGCTGTCCCACAATGCCAGAACTCCAGTCAGTGCTCTGATATGGAATGTGGGTATAAGCGGCAACTTCACCTGTTGTATCAATGCTCAGTGCAGGAGGTTTTTAAGCCATTAGGAAGCTTAGGTAATTTGGTTGGCCTCAGTATATTTATCTTCATAAATGCTTTCCTTAATGAATAATCAACATTTAGCTTACTACTCTGAGTTCTTACTTGCAAAAACTGAACTCATAGTCCAGAGAATCTAGAAACTATTCATTTACTATTCAGTGAGTCTACCTTGATGTCATTTTCCCTTTTTTAAAGTTAATTTATTAGTTTGAGAGGCAAACATGGACACACATACACCCCTCATGAAGGCATGTTCCTGTCCACTGGTTCACTCCCCAAATGCCTGCAATGGCCAGGGCTGGGACTGACCAAAGCTGGAAGCTAGGAACTCAGTCCAGGTCTCCTATGAGGATAGCAGGGACCTGACTACTCAACCCATCACCCGCTGCCTCCCAGAGTCTGCATTAGCAGAAAGCTGGAATCGGGAGTGGAACCAGGACTCCAACCCAGACACTGCTATAGGATGCAGACAACCCAACTGACTAGGACAAATGCATTTACCTATTATTTTTCTCATATTATTTGTATATTTTACATAGCTAAGAACTATAATATAATCATTTAAGTGATAGCAAGTTTTTTGTAATCCAACATCCTCTGAGTTTTTCTCAGATTCTTTGTTATTTTTGTTTGTTGAGCTGGTTTTTGGTTTTATTTGCTTCTGCTTATTATATTATAGCATAGGCCTTAACAAAAGATTCAAACAAAAGATAAGATTTTGGCCAGCGCCGCGGCTCACTAGGCTAATCCTCCGCCCTGCGGCACCGGCACACCGGGTTCTAGTCCCGGTCGGGGCGCCGGATTCTGTCCTGGTTGCCCCTCTTCCAGGCCAGCTCTCTGCTGTGGCCAGGGAGTGCAGTGGAGGATGGCCCAAGTGCTTGGGCCCTGCACCCCATGGGAGACCAGGAGAAGTACCTGGCTCCTGCCATTGGATCAGCGCGGTGCGCCAGCCACAGCACGCTGGCCGCGGCTGCCATTGGAGGGTGAACCGACGGCAAAGGAAGACCTTTCTCTCTGTCTCTCTCTCTTTCACTGTCCACTCTGCCTGTCAAAAAAATAAATAAATAAATAAAGATGAGATTTTAAGACCTTAGAACACTGAAAGCATGGTGTTGCAATATATACACTGGCCGCTATGGCTTTCTGCATTGTGAAAGGTAGTTTTACCAGAAAGCGCAGTGACTCAATACAGCCCTTCAAATGTTCCTGCATTATTCATTGTGATTATGATGAATTAAAGCCTGAGGGTAGCAAACCAAGTAGAGACAAATCTGTGCTACCTAATAGTATACTCTTCAGAAAAATTATAACTTCATTCTGAAGGTACATCATCTCATACATATATTTATTATAATCAATCAAATCTTAATTCCTGTCCCTTATTCTTAGCAATGACATTCTGCTACTGCCTCAGATTCCTTGGCAGTTCTCCATAGCTTCACAATATATTGCTGTTTCAAGACTTCCGTTCCCCAGGTCTTGCTTTTCACTGCTTGGCTTGCAACACTTAGAGGGGAGATGGTATAGGAACATGAGAGGGAGATTGGTCTGCTTTCTAGCAGTAATGCCCATATCCTTGGCCATATGCACCCAATGGGAATTCTTTAGCCAGAAACATTATTCTGGTTTCTGAAATAGATGTTGAGGAAGATTTTGTTGCAGGAGGGGGTACGGTTTGTTTTCTGTAAAGGAAGTATGAGCAAACCATATTCAAGGAGTACATGGTACCTGGGAGCACTGGCTCAAATCTCTCATCACTGAACTTGGTTGTGTACAGAAATCCTTTATAAATTAATATTTGCCCTCTTTGCTCAACTGTGTTTCCCAGGTGCCAAGAACAGTTTTTGTCAATAGATGCTCAATAGATATTTACTGAATGAATGAAGTAATCATGTCCTACCCTACCCCCCCATCTCCTAACATGATTTGAATTCATTCTCAAATACAGTGAAAATTATGAAGCTATGAAAAGTCATGATCAGCTTGGAAAATACAGGTAGTTAATACTTCTTAGTTTTATTTTTCAAGGTAAAGATTTAAAGAAATGCTTCCCCTTTCCCTTATACTAGATACCATAAAATTGCCAGGACTTGTATTTGAGTGGGTATATTTTATGAGGCCTTTTTCTAATGTTTGAAAGACAAAGCTAAAATTGTTTAAAATGTTAACAGCTTTTGCTGAATGGGTCATATGTATGTATACGTATATGGATATATATATATATCAATATGTATAATAGTTATAAAAAAGACAAAGCTGCAGAAGTTTGATAATTATTTCTTGTATTTTAAGTTGGAACTTTAGACATATTTTTCTATAGATGCTGTTTTATACATAATAGTTAAAATTCTTTAGTGCTATTAGTACATATTGGTCATTTAGTCTTCTTTTGGCTCAGAGTAAGTTTTGTGAATTCCACTAAGGTGATCATTTTGAAGAGTATTGTTCTTGGGAGACTACAATGTAACCTTTTTGACAATTTTGAGTAAATTCTATGGACATACGTTGAGTCATCAAATGTGGTAATATTAACTATTTAAGTCACAATAGTTTCACAATTCAATTATCTTTTGAAAAGCATCTGTTCCTTTCTTTATGATTTCATGTAATTTTTGCAAGATATTTTTATTAGCTGTTTCTCAAATGACCCTTGTATGGTTATTTTGAGATTAGGTTGTCTGATTATATTGTGTTTTCTATATTAGTGAAAAGCATTTCAAGTGGCATTGCTCTCTGAGAATGGCAGGCACTAGATGACAAATAGTCAAGGATAAAAAAGAGATTTGATTCAATAAGGCTAGTGGAAAATTTCCACATCTTCTCAATTCTTTTTTAATGTGCTTTTGTAAAATTTATCTTTTTTAAAAGATTTATTTATTTATTTGAAAGTCAGAGTTAGAGAGACAGGAGAGGCAGAGAGAGAGAGAGGTCTTCCCTCTGATGGTTCACTCCCCAATTGGTCACAACGGCCAGAGCTGCACCGATCCGAAGCCAGAAGCCAGGAGCTTCCACCGGGTCTCCCACGTGGGTGCAGGGACCCAAGGACATGGACCATCTTCTACTGCTTTCTCAGGCCATAGCAGAGAGCTGGATTGGAAGTAGAGCAGCCAGGACTCGAACTGGCGTCCATATGGGATGCAGGCACTGCAGGCTGCGGCTTTACCTGCCATGCCACAGCACCGGCCCCGAAACTTATCTTTTTTAATACCCAGGCTACTTGAATTCGTATTTGTATTATAAGCCACACAATTATGTGTTTGCACTGAGGAATGAGGTCTATACCAGTTCTCTTGGTGCATGCTGAGGAGATAGGATGGATTGTTAAAAATAAGTTTATTGTCTTCTAAAGCTCTTCTAAGAATATTTTCCTCTTCTAGTTTGGGAATTCTTTTTCTAATCATTGCCCCTTGTGTCCAAAATTGAAGTTTAAAAATTAAGAGATAAATAGTTTTCTTGGAAAAAAATGGAGACATGTAAGCTGAAATAATTATAAAAGCATAGTGCCAAAAGAATATGAGTTTGTTATAAGGAGAAAGACAGCTGAAATCTAAGTGTATTCATGTATTCAACAAATATTAATTTATTCATTCACTGAGTTTTGTGTGCATGCCTACGCTAGATGAGCCTGCCGGGAAGAGCTATATATAAGATAGGCAAAAGATTCCCCAGCAGTGGAAGAGATACAGAATAATTAATTAAAATTATAGTGTCCTGTGATGGAAATAAATAGGGTCCTGAGATAGAGAGCTGGTGAGGATGGAGAAACCTGTTTTTGGTAGAAAGGTCAGAGAAAACCTTTCTAGAGCAGTAAACATTCCAGCTGGGGCAGAAAGTGAATGGTGGGCCAAAAGATGGACTAACAAAAGGCCCCAGGGCAAGAAAGAATTTGATGTCTTGTGCAGTTCATAGGAGTGTGTCCCAACTCTAGTCAGTCAGTCACAGTTATTTGACAATTACATTGAAAGAAATAATAGGATACTCCTGTATCTTATTAGTTAACATATCTAAAAGTCAATGGATGATAGGACAATCCATTTGTACTATTTGAGCTGATTCAAATTACTAGATTTCTAGACTGGTGCTGTCAGTAGAATTTTATCCAGTGGTAGAAATATTTCCTAATTCTGCCCTGTACAGTATGATAGTCACTAGCATATGGGGATTTTGAGAACCTGAAATTAAGCTACTGTAACAAAGGAGATGAATTTATTTAATTTTCATTTTAAGTAAGTACAGTTTAGATGTAAATAGTCATGTGTACTTGTAGCTATTATACTGGTCAGTGTACTTCTAGACTCTTAGTCTAATGAATTGCTCAGGTAAAACCTTAAAGTGTTGCTTTTGCATCATCCCAGGATGTGAAGAAATGAATGATTTACCACTTTATAATATGACTATAAAAGTTTGGCAATTTCCTGTACAGTACATCAACCTTCATTGATAAAGGATGAAAATCAGTCTTTTTATGATATGAGACTTAGGGGATTTGCTGTAGCCCATATAAAATATACAAAAGTATCTTCAAAAAATGGTAGTCTACCTGTAGTTTATTTTCTTATAAAAGGTAGAGAAGATGCTATTTATGTATTTGATAGCCTATACTGATTGGAGTCAGAGACAAAATTAAAACTTCAGAATTGTAATCAGAACACTGTAGTTGTGCTTGTTAAGAGGAAGAATAGTGTTCAGCGAATTTGATTTTTTAACTATAATCCAATGTTATTCATATATTTTCTGTGCTATACTATCACCAACATTTCAGAAAATTATCTTGCTATCAAAGATAAATAATAATTCATTGTACAGTATCAATTAGATACAAGATTTTTTAAATCTGTAAATGTTTATTTAGTATAGTTTCAATGGTTTTAGAGAATATAAAGGAATATTTATAAATATTTTAATAATCAATTTCAGTCTTATTATCCCAAGATTATATATTTTGGGCTAATAAATAATGAGGCCTTTCCTTCTAAAATTTCACTAGCAAGTAAGAAGGGATTGCTAATTTTTTTTTCTTTCAAAGAATTTTTTAGTCTTTGATTTATTATGCTTATTCTCAGAATCTTACAACCATTGTAATTTTGATTATTGGGTTATTTATTTATAAGTTTCTATTTTCTTAGCAGCTGTTGCTAGAAAAGAGTTTTAAAACTGTGTCTTCACAGAATCCAGTTCAATATTTGTTGAACACTACCTGTATGCAAAGATCTATGCCAGGTCCTTTACTGATATGAAGATGAATAAAATAAAAGAATAACAATGTGGGATGAGACAAATACTAACTAACTAGGTAAAATAAATATTATTTGTATCATAAGAATCTGTATGTGTGTTAATGATGTCACAAGACATATAGTCAGAGAGATTAGGAGACGTCTCTGAAGGATCTAGCATTTCTAACAGACACTAAAGAATAGTTAAGATAGGGGCTGGCGCTGTGGCTTAGTGAGTAAAGCTGCCACCTGCAGTGCCGGTATCCCATATGAGCATCGGTTCAATCCCAGCTGCTCCACTTCTGATCCAGCTCTCTGATATGGCCTGGGAAAGCAGTAAAAGATGGCCTAAGTCCTTGCACACGGGAAGACCCGGAGGAAGCTCCTGGCTCCTGGCTTTGGATCGGCACAGCTCTGGCTGTTGTGGCCAGTTGAGGAGTGAACCAGCAGATGGAAGACCTCTCTTTCTCTGCCTCTCCTTCTCTCTCTGTAACTCTTTCAAATAAATAAATAAATAAATATTAAAAAAAAAAAAGTAGAAGAACTTGACTGAGGACCAGAAGAGGAACAGTGGAGGAGATTTCATATGTACCCATTGGCATGATAAGATGCTAAGGCAGGTTATAAAATGGGAATTGTATTTGGGAAATAAGATGTTTTTCAGCTGATATAATATGTTTGTTTGCATGTATGAGAGAAGTAATGAAAAATACTATTAAGAAGGATAGGTTGTAGAGAGCCCTGAATTTTGGAATTAATTTGATAAGCATTGGAAAGCTAGCAAATAATTTTTTAAGAAAGACTCTCTGAATGCTAAGAAATTCATTCATCTATTCTTTTATCCATCACTAACTTAATGTGCATCTATTACTAATGAGGCATTGTGTTAGTATCTGGGAATATGATAGTGAATAGGACAAGTATGGTGTAATCTATAAAGAAAATTAGAGAGAAATTTAAAGACTAAAGGGAAACTCTTAAAATTGCTGTGTAGGAGATTAATGTGTGCTTATGTTACTATTTTATAAAAGGTCATCTCTTTTCATCTACTAGTTATAATATTTTATTTTTAAAAAATTCCTAAGGAACTTGAAAAGTAATGTTTTCAAAATTTGAACAGTTTAGTTATTCCAGGAAGTTTTTAGAGTAACTTTTGAATAACTGGAAATTAAAACATTGCTTCTCTTAACTAACCATGTAAAAAATGAAAAGACCCAGAGGCACATGCAGTCAAAGCCAAAATTAACAAATGAGATTACTTCAAATAGAGAAATTTCAGTACAGCAAAAAAAAACCACTCAGGAAAGTGAAGAGGAAACTGACAGAATAGGAAAAATTATTTGCAAACTATGCAACTGATAAAGGATTAATAATCAAAATCTACAAAGAGATCAAGAAACTCCAAACAACAAAACAAACAACCCAGTTAAGTGTTGGGCAAAGGACTTAAAACAGACATTCTTCAAAAGAGGAAATCCGAATAGCCAACAGACACATGAAAAACTGCTCAGGATCACTAGCCATCAGGGAAATGCAAATCAAAACCACAATGAGGTTCCACCTCATCCCAGTTTGAATGGCTTTCATACAGAAATCAACAAAGAACAAATGCTGGCGAAGATGTGGGGAAAAAGGTACCCTAATCTTCTGTTGGTGGGAATGTCAACTGGTAAAGTCACTGTAGAAGACAGTATGGAGATACCTCAGAAATCTGAGTATAGATCTGCCATATGACCCAGCCATCCCACTCCTGGGAATTTACCCAAGGGAAATGAAATTAGTAAGCAAAAAAATTACCTGCACCTCCATGTTTATTGCAGCTTAGTTCACAATAGCTAAGACATGGAATCAACCTAAATGCCCATCAACCAAAGACTGGATAAAGAAATTATGGGATATGTACACTATCAAATACTACACAGCGATTAAAAAAAATCAGATCTGGTCATTTACAACAAAATGGATGAATCTGGAAAACATCATACTTAGTGAAAGAAGCCAGTCCCAAAAGGATAAATACCATATGTTTTTCCTGATCTGTAAGAACTAATAGAGCACCTAACAATACATTTGCAGAAGTGAAACTGACACTTCAGGAAGATATGACTAGATGCCCTTATCTTGACTGTTGAGGAACAGTTTCGGTTCTTTGTTTTTGTTTTGTTTTGTTTGTTCATTTTTCCTTTTTTCTTTATACTCTTTGTTGAACTCTTTACTTTGCATAGAGTTAATCATGTGTATAAAAAAATTAAAAATGGATCTCAGTAAAATATAAGAGAATCTACAAAGAAATCAAGAAACTCCACAAGATCAAAACAAACAACCCACTTAAGAGATGGCCAAGGACCTCAATAGACATTTTTCAAAAGAGGAAATCCAAATGGCCAACAGGCACGTGAAAAAATGTTCAAGATCACTAGCAATCAGGGAATGCAAATCAAAACCACAATGAGGTTTCACCTCGCCCCAGTTAGAATGGCTCACATTCAGAAATCTACCAACAACAGATGCTGGAGAGGATGTGGGGAAAAAGGGACACTAACCCACTGTTGGTGGGAATGCAAATTGGTTAAGCCACTATGGAAGTCAGTCTGGAGATTCCTCAGAAACCTGAAGATAACCCTACCATTCAACCCAGCCATCCCATTCCTTGGAATTTACCCAAAGGAAATTAAATTGGCAAACAAACAAGCTGTCTGCACATTAATGTTTATTGCAGCTCAATTCACAATAGCTAAGACCTGGAACCAACCCAAATGCCCATCAACAGTAGACTGGATAAAGAAATTATGGGACATGTACTCTATAGAATACTATACAGCAGTCAAAAACAACGAAACCCGGTCATTTGCAACAAGATGGAGGAATTTGGAAAACATCATGCTGAGTGAATTAAGCCAGGCCCAAAGGGACAAATATCATATGTTCTCCCTGATCGGTGACAACTAACTGAGCAGCACCAAAGGGGAAACTTGTTGAAGTGAAATGGACACTATGAGAAACAGTGACTTGATCAGCCCTTGTCCTGATTGTTGATGTACAATGTAATACTTTATCCATTTTAGTATTTTTTTTTTGTTCTAGTACCATTGGTTGAACTCTGTAATTAACACACAATTATTCTTAGGTGTTTCAATTTTAACTGAAAAGTGATCCCTGTTAGGAATTTGGAAAACATTATGCTGAGTGAAATAAGCCAATCCCAAAGGGACAAATACCACTTGTTCTCCCTGATAGGTGACAACTAACTGAGCACCAAAAAGGAAACCTGTTAAAGTGAAATGAACACTATGAGAAACGGTGACTTGATCAACCCTCACCCTGACTGTTGGTGAGCAACTTAATATGTTATCCCTCTTAGTATTTTTGTTTGTTTGTTCTACTTAATACTTTTGGTTGAATACTGTAATTAATACACAATTCTTCTTAAGTGCTGAAACTTAACTGAAAAGTGATCGCTGTTAAATATAAGAGTGGGAATAAGAGAGGGAAGAGATGTGCAATTCGGGACATGCTCAAGCTGACTTACCTCAAACGGTAGAGTCAGAAACATACCAGGGGATTCCAAGTCAATCCCATTGAGGTGACATGTACCAATGCCATCTCACTAGTCCCAGTGATCAATTTCTGTTCACAATTGATCGTAATGATAGGACTAAGAACCAAAGGGATCACATAAACAAGACTAGTGTCTGCAAATACTAGCTGATAGAATAAAGAAGGGAGAGAATGATCCAACATGGGAAGTGAGATACACAGCAGACCCATAGAATGGCAGATGTCCTAAACAGCACTCTGGCCTCAGAATCAGCCCTTAAGGCATGCGGATCTGGCTGAAAAGCCCATGAGAGTATTTCAGGCATGGAGAGCCAAGACACTCTGGGGAAAAAAAAAAAACCTAAATGAAAGATCTCCACGAGTGAGATCCCAGTGGAAATAACGGGTCATCAAAGAAGGAGGTACCTTTCTCTGAAGGGAGGAGAGAACTTCCACTTTGACCATGGCCTTGTCTAAAAATTATCAGGTCAGTGAACTCAGGGGGCTTCCATAGCCTTGGCAGCTCATGACAAGAGCCTAGGGTGATTACTGAGGCCATAAACAAGAGTGTCAATTTGTTAAGTCAACAACAGGAGTCACTGTGCACTTACTCCTCATGTAGGATCTTTGTCCTTAGTGTGCTGTACATTGAGATTTAATGCTATAACTAGTACTCAAACAGGCCGGCGCCGCGGCTCACTAGGCTAATCCTCCGCCTAGTGGCGCCGGCACACCGGGTTCTAGTCCCGGTTGGGGCGCCGGATTCTGTCCCGGTTGCCCCTCTTCCAGGCCAGCCCTCTGCTGTGGCCAGGGAGTGCAGTGGAGGATGGCCCAAGTGCTTGGGCCCTGCACCCCATGGGAGACCAGGAAAAAGCACCTGGCTCCTGGCTCCTGCCATCGGATCAGCGCGGTGTGCCGGCCGCAGCGTGCTGGCCACGGCGGCCATTGGAGGGTGAACCAACGGCAAAGGAAGACCTTTCTCTCTGTCTCTCTCTCTCACTGTCCACTCTGCCTGTCAAAAAAAAAAAAAAAAAAAAAAAAAAAAAAAAAAAAAAACTAGTACTCAAACAGTATTTTTCACTTCATGTTTCTGTGTGGGAGCAAACTGTTGAAATCTTTACTTAATGTATGCTAAACTGATCTTCTGTATATAAAGAGAATCAAAAATGAATCTTGATGTGAATGGTAGGGGAGAGGGAATAGGAAAGGGCAGGGTTGCGGGTGGGAGGGACGTTATGGGGGAAGCCATTGTAATCCATAAGCTGTACTTTGGAAATTTATATTCATTAAATAAAAGTTAAAAAGTTAAAAATAAGAGTGGGAACAAGGGAGGTGGAAGTTTGTAACTGTAAAGCTGTATAATTTTGCATAGATTCCTGTGTGTTTACTTCATAGACTACAGTTTAAAAACTTGTTGTGGGACTCCAGATCCCATTAACCTTGGTGGTAAAAATGCCATCTAAGTTGTTAAAGTGATCATATTACATGTTAAAGTGAGCATATAAATAGGATTAAGTATTAAAATGATCATATAAATAGGATCAATTGTCTGGTAATAATAACAATAGAATTAAAAACGAGAGAGTTTTCCAACATGGGAAGCAGTTCACACACCAGACTCAGAATGACAGTTGCTTTAAGTAACACTCTGACCTAAAAATCATCCTTTAAGGCTTGCTGGTCTGGCTGAAAAGCCTAGGAGACGATTCAGGCATGGAAAGCCAAGACACTGTGACCAAAAATGTTCTACATGAAGGATCTCTGTGAGTGATACCCCAGTAGAAAAGAGTGGCCATCAATAAAAGATGTACTTTTCTCTGAAGGAAGGAGAGAACTTCTACTTTTCTTATGGCCTTGTCCAAATACTGACAGAGTTTGTGGACTCAAAAGGCTTCCATAGCCTAGGCTGTTGATGTCAAGAGCCTCAGGTGGTCACTGACTTCATATGTAAGAGTGTTAATTGTTAAATTAACAACAGGAGTCACTGTGCACTATCTCCCCCTACAGGACCTCTGTCCTTAATGAGTTGTATTATGACAGTTAACTGTAAAACTAGTTCTCAGTTTTGTGTGTGTGTGCAAATTTTTGAAATCTTTACTTAGTATAGAGTTGGTCTTCTGTGTACAAAGTTAATTGAAAATGAATCTTAATGGAGAATGGGACTGGCAAGGGGAGAGGGAGGAGGAGGAGTGGTGGAAGAGCAGATATGGTGGGAAGAATAACCATATTCTTAAAGTTATAAAATTTGTATTCCTTAAAAAATTAATTAAAACAAAAAAAACGCAATGACTGTTTTTCAATGGCTTAGGATAAATCACTTCCTGAAATTACATAGGTTATTGGATACATTTTTTTTTAACTCCCCAACATATTCTCTGGAAGATTATCTTTTTCACTTTACCTAACTCATATTACTGTTCTGGAAGCATATGAACATTTCACTGAGATTTTGCATTTTGAGCTAATCCTGCCCATGTTGGTAAAGGCTTCTAAAATATACCTTGGGTTAGCCAGTAATTTGGGCTTTTTCCATATTTGGATTAAAAAATACCACTTTCTCAACAGTAGAGACAAGGGCTATAAGCAATCACTGAATCACAAAATGTCAATTTCAGTAATATACATTACCTTTTAGGTACTCTGTTAGTTACCACAGATTAGAGAAAACATAGTATCTATCTTTTTGTGACTGGCTTATTTCATTCAGTATAATAGTTTCCAGTTGTATCCATTTTGTTTCAAATGACAGAATTTTACCAATATGTAGCATTCCATTGTGTACATAGTACCATAATTTCTTTATGCAGTCTTCAGTTGATGGATTTGGATTGATTCCATATCTTAGCTATTGTGAATTGAGCTGCAATAAACATGGGGGTACAGATAACTCTTTCATATGCTGATTTCATTTCCTTTGGGTAAATTCCCAGGAGTGGGATTGCATAGGGTAGATCTATTTTCAGATTTCTGAGGTGTCTCCATACTGTCTTCCTCAATGGCTGTAGCAGTTTACATTCCCACCAACAGTGGTATTGGGTATCTTTTTCTCCACATCCTCACCAGCATTTATTGTATGTTGATTTCTGTATGACAGCCATTCTTACTGGGTTGAGGCGAAACCTCATTGTTGTTTTGATTTGCATTTCCCTGTGGCTAGTGATCCTGAGCCTTTGTTCTTGTGTCTGTTGGCCATTTGTACGTCTTCTCTTGAAAAATGCCTATTCAAGTCCTTTGCCCATTTCTTAACTGGATTGTTTGTTTTGTTGTAGAGCTTCATGAAGTCTTTATAGACCTTGGATATTAATCTTTTATCAGTTTCATAGTTTGCAAATATTTTCTCCTCTTCTTGTCAGTTGCCTCTTCACTTTCCTGAGTGTTTCTTTAACAGTACATAAGCTATTCAGCTTGATGTAATCCCTTTTGTTAATTTTGGCTTTGTGCTTCTGGGGTCTTACACAGTATCCCCTATGTTCTCTAGTAATTTGATGGTATGCAGTCATAGATTTAGGTCCTTGAACCATTTTGAGAGGATTTTTGTGTGAGGTGTAAGGTAGGGGTCTTGTTTCATGCTTCTGCATGTGGAGATCCAATTATTGCAGCACCATTTGTCAAAGAGTCTGTTCCTTGTTCCAGGGATTGATTTTAGCTCCTTTCTCAAAGATAAGTTGGTTTTGGATGCGTGGGTTCTTTTCTGGAGTTTCTGTTCTGTTTCATTGGTCTACACATCTATTTTTTGCCAGTAGCAGACTGTTTTGATTATAACTGCCCTGTTTTATGTCTTGAAATCTGGTATTGTCATGCCTACGACTTTGTTTTTATTGTTAAAGATTGCTTTAGCTGTTTGAAGTCTCTTGTGACTCCATATGAATTTTAGTATCAGTTTTTCTAGGTCTGAGAAGAATATCATTGGTCTTTTGATTGGAATTGCATTGAAACTGTAAATTGCTTTGGGTAGCATGGACATTTTGATATTAATTATTCTAAAATGTGATAATGAAATCTATCAATTTCTTCTAGATTTTCTGATTTATTGGCATATAGCTCTTTATTGTAATTCTTGATTATTATTTTTTCATTTTCTATTTTTAAAAGATTTATTTATTTATTTGGAGGCAGATTTACAGAGAGAAGGAGAGACAGAGAGAAAGGTCTTCTATCTGCTGGTTCATTACCCAAATGGCTGCAATGGGCAGAGCTGGGCATCCAAAGCCAGGCACCAGGAGATTTTTCTTCTGGTCTCTCACGTTGGTGCAGGGGCCCAAGGACTTGGGCCATTTTCCATAATAGAGAGCTGGATTGGAAGTGGTACAGCCAGGACATGAACCAAAACCCATATGGAATACCAGCCTAGCCTACTACATCACAGCGCCAGCCCCACATTTTTTTTTCTCTGTGATTCTATTGATTTGGGTCTTTTCCCTCTTTTTTTTTTTTTTTTCTGTTTGTTTGTTTGTTTTTTGCTTAGTTGGGCCAATGGTATATCAAGTTTGTTTACTTTTTTCAAAACACTAGCTCTTTCACTGGTATTTTATATTTTTTTTTTTTTTTGGTTTCAGTTTTGTTTATTTTCTATTTTCAATTACTTCTTTCCTCCTACTAATGTCAGTTTGATTTGTTGTTATTTTCTAGGTCCTTGAGACACATTGATAGCTCATTTATTTGGTGCCTTTCCAATTTCTTGATGTAGGCACCAATTGCTATAAATTTCTCTCTTAATACTGCTTTTGCTGTATCTCATAAGTTTTGACACGTTGTATTGTTGTCTTCATTAGATTCCAGAAATTTTTTTTCTCT